TAGTGAGGATGAATTATGCATTTGCACTTCACATTAAAGATAATTAATAAGCGATTCTTCTATGTTGGGTGTGTTTTTTTTTTTAAGTTCCTTTTAAGATGTTTTCAATAATTTGTCTGCTTTAATGTTTTGTAAATTAATGAGGCGTTATTTGTGATTGAAAGGCCTTTTATTTAATTTCAGGCACTTAAGTTTTAATGAGCGGCTTTGAGAAACTGTACAAACACGTGCTGCTGCAAACATTAAAGCAGAAGCAGAACATAGCATTAATCCTACAAACAAGAAAGGCGTAAAGATTTTAAATACCACTTTGAATTTCATTCATTTTATTATTTATAAATCAGACAATCATGTTTAAAAATGGTAAAAGGTTAAAAAACGAAGATCAGTTGAGGTGCTACCAAGCAAGGAAGATGTATAAAACTAAAATTTTAATATCAAGGGTAGGAAAACATTACATTATATATATATATATATATATATATATATATATATATATATATATATATATATATATGTATGTATTTTTATTTCTATGCTTTTATTTTTGCTCACCCCTTACTCAGTTTGGAAAGTGTGACCAAAAAAAAAAAAAAAAAGACGACTGTCCATTGTTTTGTTTTTTTTTTTTATGATTAATTGTAGTGGATAAAATAACATACCAACTTAAAATCCTGAACACATTACAGAAATAGGCATATGCAAATAGTAAAACCATCTGTTATTGGTCCTAACTCCCCATTATCTCAGCAGAGATACAAAAATATACTTTGAATGCATGTGTTATAGTTTAAATTACCATTAACCAAAATCAGGTTTGGAACGTTAAAAGTTTTCTTCGTCTTGTCGTTTCATTTAGACGTAGCTCTACGCTCCTGGTGCAAAGCGTCCATTACAGTCGTGTTCTGTTCTGTGTTTATGTGCGCGGTCCCTGCCAAGTAAACCGGTAATAAATGAAGTAAATGAGAATAAATGCTATTTAACATCGCGTCAAACCCATCAGCAGTCTACAGCATCTATGCACTTCTGTGCAAATAAATCACACGTAGAAAACGGAGAAACGCTTTCAATACACTCTCGCTTAGTTCGCTATTCCTACTCCTGACTTGCCACCACCGGGGGAGTGTGTCTGATTGAGATGGTTTAATACATGAATGTGATATTGTTTGGTGTAAAGCTGCACCGTTTAAAACAGTTGGAGAACTGACCTGCAGTAGCCACCATTCAACTCCAGGAAGGCAGCACTGAGATGTTTTTTTGTTTTTGTTTTGTTTTTTGGCTAAATATAGCAGAACTTTACACAGAAACACAAAAATCTGCACAAAAACAAGACGGTGCTCTAATAAACTTTTTATATTAAAGTTTGTGAGCAAGAAAAACTTGATTTGGGGATTATTTACACCAAGAACCTAAGAGGAAGTTGTACCTCATTTATTCCATAATAAGTGGAATCAATTATTATTAAACTACTGCAGATGCTATTTGATACAGTGATTCAAAAAAAAAATAAAAAAGTAAAAAAAAAATGGTATGGCCAGATAAGGCAGTTTTAATTCATGGCAAAGCAAAAAAAAAATAAAAAATAAACAAAAAAATTTGAATGATTTAGAACAATAATTGCTTTTACGTAAAATGCTTGATTTGATAAAGTCAAGAAAAAAAAAGCTAAATATAAAGCAAACGGCGTTCCTTCTTATGTCGTCTGTAAGCCGTTTGTTTTTGAGACGGCATGCTGCTGTGCTACTGTGACCGAGGAGCGCCGGGAGACTTGTTGTCCTTTCAGCATGCCTGACATCTGATTTCACTGTACACTTTATAAGTCAGTGGTGCCTGGTGATGAGGGCATACTAAATGTGACATTTGCGATTGCAAATGAGCTTGCAAATCAAGGCTTTACCGCCGTCACCAACCGGGGCCTGGCACATATTCATTTATTTATACTGCTAGATTGCTGCCATCAATCAAGAGCATTATAAATCTTCCGCCTCATCAATAGGCAATCTGCTAATGCATGCGGCCGATCAATTCCCGACTTAGGAGAGCCGAGATGTGAAGCAGCTCGTCTCTTTCCCTCCCCACCCCGGTCCTTTAGTCGCAGACACGTGCACACGTCATTTCCGTTTACTACAAACAAGCACATTCGTGCGAGTTGTGCAGACGCATATTGCGTTTAAGGGTCCGTGCCTCCGATCCATACCGATGGTGTCGTTTCAGGTCTTCCGATGTCGGTGGGAACGGGTCCATCAATGGGGCCCTGCAGTATAATAATGACATGATTAGTATTTATGCCAGCCAATAAAAAAAAATAAAAAAAAGGCAGTCTAGATCCCAAGGGGGCCAGAGAAAATCTGACCATAACTGAAAATTTGACCTTCAGAATAGCTCCCCATCGTGTAGTTTAAATCAAATATTTAAATTATTTGGCAGAAGATTGCAGAGAAACTAGAAGATAAAGGTTTTAAAACATAGCTCTATATATATATTTTATTTTAGGACTACCTGTCATATGTTAATACCTTCGATCTCTGCCGGCGTCACACTTTTTTTTATTTTTATTTTTTTCATTACAGAACAGGTGCAGGACGTATTGATTATAACCCTCAATAATAATTAAAAATCTTGTCATGCATTTCTAAGCAAGTTAGATCAGAACAATGAGTGATTAAAATGATTCTTGTGGAACATGTTTCCCGTCCATGTATCTAGAGGCCAACGTCTTTTGTTGCATAATTATAAATGGGAGCAATTTATGAAATTATTGAGTGGAGGATTTTCTATGAGAAAGGCTGATCGAAAGGAAAATGACGACAACAGCAGCCGCAAAAAGGAAAGTCTAACTCGCTACGCTATGCAGCCTTGTGCTTCATTCTGAGAGTGCAGTGGTTTCGGTGAAGATAGCAGCTCGGTGAAATTGTTACAGAGTTAACCAAACACAAGCTGATGGTTGCTGAAGACTGATGGAGTTACGTCAGGGCTTCAGTCTCGGGGGGGGGGGGGGGGGGGCACTACAACCAAACGGCTTCCTGCAACCAAGATGCTTATGTTCTGAGCAGAGATCATTTCTGGATGGCCAGTAGCGTTTTTGCTTTCTTCCTAAGGACATATGAAGGAAGGGGAGGGGAAGAAAAAAAAAGTGCTTCAGGTGATTAGTTAAAGGTAATAATTTGAAATGCAACAGAAAATAGATCATATTCATGCACCATGGTGAACCTTTTCTGTAGATAGATTTTATTTATTTATATTTTTCTGTGTTCCACACTGAAAAAGAATGACTCTTTATGCTCAGGTTATGCAAATGTGGCAAAAAAAAAAAAAACATTTTGCTATATTTAATTTTTAACTATTTTTATGAAGTTCCAAAAAGATAATTGTCAAATATTATCATTATTTTTTTTTATTATTATTTTTATTGCTCCATTGCTGTAATAGAAAACTAGTAGCACCGCTTTTATGAAAAAACGATAAACAGTCAAATGACATTCAAGAATAAGAGCATAAACTTCAACTTCACAAATGTTACCATTTCTCATCTTTACACATAGTTAATAAATATTTTATTCCCCAGGAGCTTCTGGGAAGCCTTCTGTGTCCCCAACACATGCTAAACCAGGGTTTTAAAGAAAGCTGCTTTAAAAAAATAAATAAATAAAAGCTGCACTTTTTTTATGCAACAAATAACCAATTCACAACAAGGGAATGGACTTAATCGGAGGAACCAATTTATGCTATTTATTACGCCCAAATGTCTAAGGAAAAAGAACAAAGACTGAGCAGTCATGCAAGAGATTGTGTGACATGAATCCAAACTCCTCACAAAAAACTGTGGAGTTGTACTAAAATGTGACTCTGCTGGGACTGAATACATTATGTTCTCTGCAAGGTCCCGGGGTATGAACTACTGCTAACGTGCCAGGCTGTATCTGAGCTACATACCGAAGACGGCGCTCGAAGGCGACAAACGCGAAGATCCGAATCCTCAGTTTAAGACAAGATGCTTTTACCAATTAACATTTCTTCAATTATTTTTTTAGAAGAGTATTAAATTTTGCACATTCCATTTTTTTTTAATTAAATGGACACCACTGTTAATTAGTTTTACTGTGTTTTATGGTTAATTTGGGGCTGAACCCAGAGATTATGACCTTGATGCTGACGATTCCTAAGTTGGAATACCAAGTTTAAGCTTTCATCATAAAATTCTAACAAAGTGCAATTTTTATGAACTCAAGAATTCAATCACTTAAGAATCTAAGAAAAACACGGGGATTGTTTGATGATACCAACATTAGATCCTTAGCAACTAAAATAAATCAGTATTAGTCTCAAATCTACGTCATTTTAGCTTCAAACGAATTAAATGAAATTAAACGACTCCCTTATTCTCAAGACGGCATTTGGTTGTTTCCAAAAAAAATAAAAAAAAATAAAAAAAAATCACTCTCTGCCTCTTTTCACCGCTAAACAATTGATAACTATCCAACAACCCCGAGTCAACTGTTTTGCACGTCTTTTAATAGGAAAAGCTGAAACAATGTTGACAAGAAAAATGCATTTAGTTTATCTTGCAGATGAGATAACATGCCAAGGCCGGTGTTCTGTCCAAACACGGCATACTGAGGGGACAAAAAAAAAAAAAAATGTATCTGCAAAGTCAAACGGTCGCCGGCTGAAAACACAGGGCTCGTCCGATCAATCAGGGAAGCCAAACACGGCGCGTGTTCCCGAGCTCACCTTTACCTCGCAGAGACGCGGGCCAAGAGATTTACCGCTGTTAGCCTTGGCCTACCCTTGACTGCCCCTGCCCTTTCTCGCACGCAACATAAAGATAATTATCACTTGTCTCTCATCTAATAGGGTCCCCGCTCATTGTGCCCCGGCCCACCCTTCTGTATTACATCTCTGGACAGATTAATTGCCATAGCAACGGGCACAGCCGGTGCCATGCACCTCCTGGTGGACATAAGAGCGGGAGATGAGATCATGTCAAGTTATTAATGCTGACATTAGCGGAGGCATGACACCTCCAGCCGAGGATGAAGCCGGGGCCTTTTGTAACGCCGCCAAAGACGGGGAAAGGCGTCCCTTCAGAAGAGCGCGAGCTAATTATGCTATCCAAGTGATGGGTTTTCATTCTTTAATACGCCGCGGACGGTGTCCAACAAAAGATGTAATGAAAGATTTCACCCCCCAACCCCGTAACGAGGCAGCGGTTTCTTGTCGGTGCGTGATGCGTGTGCCGTTATCAAACCCGCACAAGGCGGGTTAGCTGCGGTTGAGAGCCGACAGACTGCAGCTCTGAAAACGTTCGCGTACGGGAGCCACAAGCACATGAGTCACGTCGTGAAGCGGCCCCCCCAACCCGCAGTGTGTGTGGGTGGCAGGTTTTTGATGTACTTGACTTTTGCCAACACGTCACCGATCGCCAAGGGGCGAAGCACACATTATTCATGTACATTCTCTCAAACTTTGTACATATGCCTAAACGGTCTGTCTTTTCAAACCCCCTGTCGGCCGTGGCAGATGGACGCCGAGCCGGTTTCTGCTGGAGGTTTTCTACTTGTTAGAGTTTTTTTTTTTTCTTCTTCTTCTTCTGCTGTCTCTACACGCTTGGTATGAAGGGTTGCTGCAAAGTCGGTGACACGATGCAAGAAACTGTCTACTGTCGCTACACGCTCATGCAGAAGGAGTGAATGTTGCAAGTTAAATTCCCTAGAAAACTTTTTAACAAATATGAAGAATAAACTGAATTTTACTACTTTATTTGATAACTAGGATCAAGGCGGTATTGACTTAATTTATGTCTGCATGATTAGATTTATTTGACTTTTTAATTGCAAGGTGGCTTTAAGCAACATGTTGTGTAGATTGGGACTATGTAAATCAATTGAGTCATTCCAAACGGCGTAGGTTAGGTTTAGATTGAGTCGTGTTTTTCCTGAAACTTAAACATCTGCACAGAAAACGCTGCATGAAGTTGATTGTCAACATTTTCTAATAAAATGCATCCATGTCTTGATCTGGGGAGGAAAAGTTGTCGACAAGCGAGCCTCCAAACGGGAGCCGGGACACGAGGAGCACAAATGTAGATAGATTCTGTCACATTGAATGACTAGCAGTTCTCCCACAGAGAAGCTTGTGTGCATGTGTAGGATTTACGTCTAAACTGACAATTTTTTTTTTTTTTTTTTTTTTTTTTGTCCAGATGCCGCCACTGATATTTCAAGAACAGAAATTGGAAATGAAATTGGGTCCAACTAGGAGCAGAAGAAGAAAAAAAAAAAAAAGAAGCAATGTTTTGCTTCTTTACTTTTTTGTCTTGTTTTTTTTGTTTGTTTGTCTTAATTCCCCATATAGGCCTTTGCCCTTATTGATTTAGAATTTAATCACCCAATATTACATGACCTGTTGTTGATGCTGAAGTTCTGTTTGTTTATATCTGGTGGATTTGTCCAAATATAGCGTTTATATTTTCGATCAAAAATGGAGGACTGGAAGATGCTCCTGGTGCGTTTCAACATGAATGAGGCAACTACTACAACTCCATCCAAGTTATGTAGGGGGCAGTATGCTGATGGACGGAATAAAATGGAAAATTTCACTAATCTTCCTTGTGATTTTGTGCAGTACGTAGATCAACACAAACTGTTTTCTCAAAAGGGGAATTTATGAATAAATGCGAGTCCTTAATACCTCCCATTTCTAAAGCCAAAGACTGTAACAACCATTTAATTCAATTTGGGAAACGTTTTGTACCGAACAGAACAAGTAAGGGAATTCCTTTGGTCTTTTGTTTGTAAAACTGCTTTTACAGAATGTCGCACCGAGGTGAGGTCTGTTTTATTCTCCCTTAAATTGTGCCACATTCATAAGCGAAGTAAAATTGTGGTTTAGAAGTAGAGATGAGTATGCAAGTTTTTGTTTTTACTTTTTTTTTTTAACTTGCTCTCAATGGCAAACATCCTTTTGCAGAGACAGTATTATGGGGACTGGGGGACAATTTCCTTCATGAAAATAAACCTCGTCATTGTTGGAGGCAATCTAATTTCAGAGAGTCATCAAGATGAGATTCTGCAACCAGCAGCAATCCCACTTTTAGGAAACCCAGCTCTATGCTCAAAGAAATCAGTGCTTGCTCCTCTGAGGGAGATTTATCCCATTAAACACTTCTGGTGCCTGGGTCCATCCCCCAGCAGTGTGTGACCAAGCCAGTCACACACTGCTAGCTTGTGTGTGACTAGCAGCCACGCCTGGCATCTGAAGAGGAGGTGCCAGGCAGTTGTTGCTCTTACGTTCATTTAAAATGGAAAACGAGCTACGTGGTGTTGCATGAGGGCATAGTCGCAAAATGTTGCAACTTGTATCCGGCGACGTTAAAATTCTAGATAAAATAATTCAGTAAACGTCAGAGAACTAAAAATGAATTCATTTAAATCGATCAAAAATAAGGTTTGCGGATCTCCAGATTTATAAGAAGCAGCTTAAACGCTTAGATAATTTTGACTAAAACACGAGGTTTAACAAAACGTATCACTGTCCGTACGGACAAGAACCCCGCAGTCAGTTTATCGGAGCAAATACAAACGGCACGAGCAGTCGGGGAACGCGATGAGAAAAGGACAAAAAGATGCAAATTTCCAACCTCAAAACAGTGAATTAAACAGAGTTCACCTTTTGTACAGTCCAAACTCCAGTTTGTTTAATAAATGCGAAAACTTTTTAAATAGGGAGCTGCAGAAGCCTTTCATTCCCAGAAGTCAAGCATAATGAAATGCATGTGTCAAGCCTGCAGTCAGCTCCATGAATCACAAATAAAGTATTAATACAAGAGTAATTAACTTACTAATTACAGCTTTTGCTGGCATTGGAGTGTCCTGCGCAACAACCCCTCCCTCTTTTGACTTATTGCGGTGAAAGATCTTTTCCGTTTTGGCCTCGATGTTTTTCCATTGTGTTTATGCCTCAAAGTCCATGCGCTTTATTCTCAAACTTCCCTCAAAACGTCTGATCTTTTCTGAACCACATCAAATGTTGTTTATTTGCACAGGCGCTTCGCAAATGTGAATGCAAATCAGAGTTCTTCCGGTCAACCGCGAGACAAGCGTCAGGCACAGCCAAGATTCTTCAAAAAAAAATAAAAAAATAAAAAATAAAAAAATCAGAGTGTAGTGCCAGCAGAGAACTGCCACAACAGTTTGACATTTTCTGGATGGGACGCAGTTTTTCTGTGCCTCATGGACTCGTGTTTGACAGGATGTAAACCAGCCAACCGAATCGGGCCACATGGGCTCCTTCTGAAAGGTCAGGAACTTCTCAAAGCGTCCGCCCAATCAGAGCTGAGATACAGCTGTCACGATGGGAGGAAACGGAGGAGTCGAAGAGAAGAGCCTCGGGGCAACACTTCCCGAAGCATTGCAATCACAGAGGCAAGTTTTGAAGCAGACTCAACAAGCGAACCACTGCGGGGATTGGGATTGTGCTTTCAGACGGCTGATTGTCTTTACGGTATTTGGAGCAAACCGGGAAAGCCGACACAACGGAAGGAAGCAGAAGTGTTGCCGTTACCCAGAAGCTTGTGTGTTTCGTTGTGTATTTCAAGTCCCTACAGTTGGCACAGTGGGTGTTTTTTTTTTTTTTTCCTGTGGTAGGGATCGGTGCACTGCATCTCACAAAAGACTTTGGCAAAAATGGGTCTAGCGTATGGATAATATCTCTAAGCAACTTATGTGCAAAGTTACTTAAGGACAACAAAGTCAATTGATTTGGAGAGGCCATCACAAAGCCATGAACTCAATCTAACTAAAAAGAAAAAGAAAAGGTTTGTGCAAGGCGACTCAACTGAACAAGTTCTGCAAGGACAAATGTTCAAAATGTCCAGTTAGCTTTTATAGGAGACTCACGAGTCAACAGAGTTTAAAATGTAATTTTATCAAAACATTTGATCTAAATCTGTTGAACACCATCCCGTTGATAAGTGACAGAACCACATAATGTTTCTGCTGTGACAGTAAAACAAACTTTACTTACATGCAGTCGTGGTACCAAGATCCCTCAGTTCATAGAAAGTCTAATAACCCACTGATCGTTTCTGGTTTTCTGAATAAACACGAAATGTATTTATTTATTTTTTCCAAAAACACCTTCTATTTAATCCCGTCATTTTGACTGAGGGTGTGCCATCATAGCAGAACAACACCATTAAGGGTCACTTTCTCATTAGTGTGTATCTGACGGGGGACGTGGAGACACACACCGCTTGGTTATTAGTGAAAATCCATATTCATGTTTAAAGGCTGGGGTTTTTGTCAGAGTTCGTTGCAAGAACACCTGCATCTCTAAATGCGTCATTTAAAAGTGATTTGTTTAGGATTTGCAGTCGGTAAAAAAAATAAAAATAAAAATAATAATACTTTTCATGAATTTTCAAAAGAGCTTAGCTTACATTGGACAATTTTCTTCGGTAAACGTAACAGTCATGATTGTTCTGGACACTCATTTATGTGATTTAGAGTCAAATGAACCTCCTCTGTCCTTTCGTAAGTACTGACGTATCTGAAAGAAAATGACTCTTTGTTGAGAAACATAGGCGTTGCGCGCCGCTTTTTAATAGTCGACATATCTGACTGAAATGCCAAGTGTTGCTAAGCTACAGTTTAGTTTTATTTTCACAGTGGATTCTGATGCATCTTTGGGAAAACATCTTTATGCAGAATCATTACAGAACGTGTAAATCTAAGTCGGTAATCTATTTTCATTTTCTTCTTTTTTTATTATTATCTTTTGTCAAAGCATACTAAGAGAAAGCCAACACTAAATAAGGTATATTACTGAAATTACATTCACCCTGTTGGATGTTTCACCCTTTTTATTCGTTTTGCAGTTCAACCACACGGCACAAAAAATGTAGATTTTTATCAAAACAAAATCCAAAAACGCAGCATCTAATGTTAAAGCGAAAATTGATTCCTACAAAATACTGACAATAAAGTATGTTTGACATAAAATTATAAGTGATTGCATAATTATTAACCCCTTCAACTGAGTATATTAACAGATGCACCTTTGGCTCAAATCACATTCATGACGTCTGTGTGACGAGGACTAGAGGGGCAGCGGGGCGATTACAGTGTTTGGTGTCCATCTTGTCTGGATTGATAAGGTGGTCTTAGACAGATGAAGACACTCTGTTGTTGGTTGTTTTGAGATTACATTGTGAAAACATACGCCATGTTTCCCTGACATACCGCATAATGCAGTAGAAATTTCTCAACTAAGCACAAGCTGAGAGCTGCTGGACCGACTTGTTGGCAAGATGTGTAAGCAATCATCTCATCTTCAGTGTGGGGCGGGGCGGGGGGGTGGGGGGAGGATATGATTTTATAGATTTCAGGAGAAATGTGAATATGTTAAATATTACTTCCATTACGCTGGTTCTGCCGTCATCTGCTGGAGCAGCAGCATCTCGCGAAGTGATGTGAGAAGCATAAAGAAGGCTCTGTTCTGGAGTCTGCTGTGGATCCTGTGGAGATAATTTTGCAAAAAAAAACAAACAAAAAAAAAAAAACAAGAACCTGATGGAGAACCCTGGGCATTCTTTTCTCAGGACTGCAATACAGCAGCAGACTGTCATCATTCAGAGGCCTGCTTATCGCCGCTGTAATGTAGAGCTCTACAGGACATCCTTCCTGCCCGCAGCCATCACCATCTACAATGACTTTAAAGAAACGTATCTGACTGTTACTACAACATATATCTATTTTTTTTCTCCCTTTGGGATAAATGAGACAGTTTTGATTGATCCACTGGAAAAGCATAAGTGATAAAATAAAGTGTCACAGATTGACTCAATTAATTTTGAAATTTACTGAGATGCACCTGTGTAGTCAAGACGTAAAGAAAGTACACCCTTTGCCTATCGAAGGGTTTTTAAGTACAAACAAAACTGCCTTTACACAAGTTTAAAATTGCCCAGACTTGTCACTTATACCTAACTCTAAATGTACAAACTCGCAACCCGTATATTTATTAAAAAGAATGAAGCTCCCCCCAGCCCCCCCTCCCAAAAAAGCTGAAAAATTCTATCTCACAAAAAAAGGCACCAAATAAAATTTTAAAAGGGGATTCTGTCTCGTCACGGTGCCTGCATGCCGGCCGCAGCCCCGTCTGTGGTGGACATCGTTTTATTTCTACAGGGTCCCCCCCAAACTATTTCAAGCTATTAAACATCCACACATTGAGTAGGGGGGGGAAAAAGAAAAAGAAATGAACTTTCAGGACTTTTTTTCCTCAGGGGGCCTACAAAACTTGAGATGACAAAACTTTTTCAGCATATTTGGTTCCGGGTCAGAAAACTGTCTCCGAACAGAGCAGTACTCTCCTGAGCCATCAAACTTACGGTATGTGAACTGGCCTTACGAGAAAATGTTTAGATGTCAACCGACGGTGAAATGAGGCAAAAATGAAGACAATTTATTATTTTTTTCTTCTTTTTAAAGCACGTTCTGCCTGGTTTTCCCAGCACAACTGCAGACCTAATTAAGCCTGTTTATGTGTTTTTTTTCTTCCTCCAAAGCAAGATGCTTCATTTAATCTTTGTCTTCACTCGTTTTAAGATTCATTAATGAGCGGCTGTTTTATTTTTATTTTTTATTTATTTTTATTAATTTAACGTTTTGGATTTCAGTTGCATCAACTGTGGGGATTGTTTTGGCCTTTGACCCATATTTTCCTCCAGCTGTGGTGAACCGTATTGACGGGTTGCTAAAGATCCAAATTGGTGCACATAGAGTTATGGCTCTGTGTGAATATATTTTAGGTTGTTTCTTTGTTATACATTAGGAACGTTTAGCCAAGGTTACCGTTTTCAGAGCACTAACCTGTTTGATTTTGTTAGAAGACATAAAGCAAATCAGACGAAAAAATATTCGGTAAAGTGAATACACTTCAAAATATTATTTACTTCAGCAATTGAATTCACAAAAAAAAATAAATAAAATAAAATCTACCAGAAAATCGCGTACCGTTACTTAGAATTCTGCGTTTTTTAAAAAAAAAAAAAAAAAAAAAGAAAAAAACACAAGGAATTTGCACTGTGATGTTTGAACATGGGATTTTCAGCCATGCTAAATTAGGGGGCAAGTGGAAGTCAACCTGAAACAGTGGGAGGACGTGCTGGAGAACAGAGGAATAGAAGTTCTTAGACACAATGCAAAATAAATGAATGACACAGGGGTAACACTGAGTCTACAAGGAACAGGTATAGAATATGGATGAGTTTAAGTACCTGGGGTCAACTCGCCGAGGTAATGTGCAGTGCACAAGGGAGGTGAAAAAGAGAGTGCAGGGAGAGAGGCTGAGATGGTTTGGACATGTGTAGAAAGAGGATTGTAGTTAAATTGGACAAAGGATGTTGGATAAGGAGTTGATGGGGAGAAGGAACAGAAGCAGACTATAGAAAAGGTTCATAGCAGTAGCATATGAGCACATGTAGAGAGTTTGAATACTAGAAATGGGGTTGAGCGAAGCTTGGTGAATCACTGTGTTAATCCCTAGAGCGATAATTAATTATTAGGTAAAATGAATGGATTTTTTTTTTGTTGAGTTCTAATGGTGCGTTCACACCAAACGCATTTCGCGCGTCTGGCTTACATTCAAAGTCTACGTGGAGGCGGGCGTAGGACTTGTTGCGGCGCGTTTCGTGAGCCTAGCGCAGCACGGTCCGAAGAGTTTGACGCGCCAAGCGCGTCCGACAGTGTAGGCCGGGAACGATAAACAATGGTAGAGAGATGTCGACTCGTCTAGCGCGCCCTCAACGCGACTCCACATAGACTTTTGAATGTGAGCCATACGCGCCAGGCGTAGAGCGAAACGTCAAGCGTTCGCACTCAAGGTGGAACTTGAAGCATCAGACGCGATTTTTTTTTTTTAACTCGCGTCACACATTTGGCGTGAACGCACCGTAACTCGTCAAAAATTGAAGTTTTAGTTCACATGCGAAAAAGTAGACTAAGCCAAATATTACTAACCTTACTCCAGTTTAATTAGTTTGGTTCAAGCATTTCTTTTTTTCCAAGGCTGATGCATTTTTAGAAAGCATCTCCAGATCAGTTGATGCCCTTTACAGAGTGTAGTCCAGTGATCAAACGCTTACTTTATTTAGGCCTCTGTTTCCTCCCACTTCAAACCTGACTACACTACCTTTGGTTGCACTTAAAGATATTAGCTAAAGGCTAAAGCTACAACCCATAAAACTCTTATATTATACTGTGGGCTTTTTTTTGTGGCCTGACTTTGCTTTTTTATATACGTATATTTAAGTAAGAGATGGATCAAAAGTGTTCAGTGAACTTGTTCTAGCAACACTAACTGCAGTATCAGATGTGTAGGAATGCTGGAGCAATATTTACCTAAAACAAAATATGTTCATATACCATTGAAATGTAACACTGTGATCAAATTGTTACTTGTATTTGCATTATTTGTGTTAATTATAAGTTTTTAGCCTTTTTCCTCACCTTGTGATAATGGGTGTGTAGACACCAGAAGCACATTTACGATTAATTATGTCATTCTAAGTGAAAGCCTGAAGCTATCTACCGCTCTTGAAAATTATTCAACACCCTACACTTACATATTTTTACTTCGTAGGTGTGCCTGATTACAAAGTAAGGATTTTAAGCAAAACAGGTTTCAAAATAAAGAGACTAAATGTGACACATTAATTAATTTAACGCTCTGAAAGTCACTATATAGTCGCTGAACAGTTATATCACTTCTGCAAAAGCTTTCATTTCCCCAACTTCCTCTTCCGTCTCCCTGGGGCCAAATTTGCAAAAGCGGGTCATCTCAGACTTCCTCCCCTCCCAGTGGAAGAGCACTCTTATTCATCTATCATAAAGCTCGCCAGAGGATATCCCTAGCAATGTAAATTGGTTTTGTTCAAGCAGACCAGAGTTTAGAAAGAAAATGAAATGTATCTCATTGCAAGCTACTCTTTTTTTTTTTTTTTTTTGCAATTTTACTCTGTTTGGTCCTTCGCTGGCCCCTTCTTCCTTATCTGTCTGCTGTTTTATCTGCTCTCCAAGGTCAGACAAGCTTGAGGCGATCAGCGGAGATAAAGACAGAATGCGAAGATGAGGATATTGGTTTGAAGGCGTCAGCGGCATGGTCAAATGAGTTCTCTCTGGCTCTCCTAAGTCGCATTCTAACAGACCCTTTGCACCTTAAAATAATAATAATAATAATAATACTCTTAAAGGTCCAAATGACCTGATATGATGTTTCCAGACAGTGAGGAATGTCAAAGAAAGACAAAGAGTCAGAAAGCAGGTCTGTCGAAGAATGCTAAATAAGGTTGGGGGAGCTACAAACCAAGAGCAATTTGCCACATGATGCTCTGGAGAGAGACAGATACACCAGAGGAACCAACTCATCACTCTCGGTTCCTCGCCTTTTTCCTCCCCCCCCCCCTCCGCACCACACGGATCAGGCCGGCACAAGCCTGAGGGTCGGGATTCTTTCAATATCCTCTTTGTGTCCTGCACCGGGATTTCGGATAAGACCGATTCACCTCTGCTGCACCTGTCGGGATAAAAGATCGGGAGTGGCAACGTTTGATTAACTTTACTTTTAATCTGTAACTATAAGGGCCTTGTTTTACCTCTTAGCCAGCCGTGCTGGTCGAGTCGAGTCGAGTCGAGCCCGGGAGGAAGCCGAAAGAGAGGCGGGGGGGGAGAATAAGAGAGAGAATAAGGAGCGAGCCAATAACACAAACACGCAAACACAAACATATTTCTTTTTCTTGCTCCACTAAGGGAACGGGAGCCCTGTTAAATAATTCAAATGGCTGTCCTAGGATGCCAATCAGAAATACTACAGCCATAAAAGCCGCGTCTACGTTCGGCGCGGAGTGGAAGCCCCTGCAGCAAATGAAGGCATTATTCTTGTTATCCTCCGGAGGATGAAACCACACTAGTATTTCTTCTTTTTATGCATGTCGTCGATTTCTTTTTCTTTATTTATTCTCTGGGGGGGGGGGGGGGGGGGGGAGATGTTTAGGTTTTGAAGCAGGACATATCTGCAGGGGGAAAGCAACTGTCAGCCTACTTTATCCCCATTTGAATAGTGCCTCTCTGCTCGCTCCAAGGTGGAACACACTCTGTTAGAAACTGGGTTAGAAGAAGAGGCGCCGCGGCAGACTTGCAACAACACCATGAGTGGGAAAAAAAAAAAAAAAAAAAAAAAGTATGCCAAGCCTCTTCCCCGGAACCCTTCCACCAAACATGTAATTCTCTCTCGAATCCATAAATGTGCATGTCTTGTACGCGTTACTGTTGCTGGTCTGAATATCTAAGACTATCGTGGTTATACTGGATACTGATGAGCTTCCTCCTGAAGCAAACGTGCACGGTTGACGTCGGCTTACAGGAAATCAGGGCTTGTATGGCAGAAACATAAGCGACATTACTGATGAGAAGCGTAACAGTGACACAGCAGACAAACTGTTTAAACTAATTTATCGCGTTCAATATTAGCACGCAAGTTTAATCTCCACATGGACCATTAGCGAAATGAAATGCCGCTGCACAAAGTGTTGCATAACTAAACGAGAAAAAAAAAAAAAAAAAAAAAAACTCAGCCATGTTAATTTATATTCATTTTCCTGCGTTAAAGTTTCAACATACAAGATTTAAACTCAATAAAGCTAACATCGCGTCTCAATGGATGCCACACATTATTGGCAGCCAACAGACAGTTTTTCCAGACAGTATCTCTCATTTGTCGAGTTTGCTCATGCAGTTAGAGCCCCGCGCTGTTAATCACAGAGAAAATGGAGGGAAACAGGACGGATGGTGTAAAAAGCCTCTACTGGAGGTTATTATCGTATACCGTCATCTATATGCAGATGAAAGGAAATTGCACTGTGGGCTGTATTGATTTGAGAAGCCCTTGATTCTCCATGCTTTTTTTTTTTTTTTTGTCTTTTACAATGAATTTTTCTTGACACTCATTTATCACTTCAAACATACAGTTCACTACAAATGTGTTTATACCTGTTGGACCTGTTCACATTTTGCCATGTTAGCATCACAAACTTCAGCTGGAATGTTGTGATCGGACAGACATCGCAACTCTGCCTAACTGTGAGGTGGAAGGAGAATAATACACTGCTAGTTGTTATGTTTCACTGTAGCGAATCAGAAATTTGTGCTTAGTTACATTGGATGGAAAATGGTTTTTAACATCAATTTTGCATATTGTTTATTATATACTATAAGCTACCACTGCTGTAAATGTCTCCACATCTTTAAGTGCATATTGAAATGAATAACACACAGGTCTTTTTAGTAATTAGGCAGGTAGTCGAAGTGGGTTTTATTTATGAGCATCTTCGTCAACGGGGTTGATTACAATTGTGCACCACACTTCTCAGATTGCTTTTAGCCAAGCGATTTTAAGACTTTGCATCATCTCCTTTTTGCCTCTTTGATTTGCTTTGCGCTGGTTTATCGCATAAAACTCATAAAAGTTTGTGGTTGTAACGCAGACAACCAGCCACGACGGTTTTGGCTAGCTTGAGAAAAACAAAATGCCATAAGGGGCTTTTGGTAAAAATGTTTTCTCCTGCTTTAACAGAGGAGATATTCTTTTACCTCCATTGAGGAAGATCCACAAAGCCCAGGAGCCCATCTTCAAACAGAGCTAATGGACAATTTACCCACCACTCTGCTCCTAAAAAAAAAAAAATAAATAAAAAAAATGGAACCAATCCCCCTTTACCAGCAAACCCCACTCCCACTTATCTCTTTGGCTACCTTGATATGCTGTCACTCTCTCTGCTCTCTGTGCTCGGGGAGCTTGTGCAGCGTTATGCATCTCCTGTGTGAGTGCATGTGCAAAAGGAGACAGCCAAGGTCATCGCTCATTGATAAGACCCCGGTGGAGCGCACATGTTATCTCTCCTGCCTGGGGACTCCCCGCAGCAACATCCACAATTAGCTATCTCACCCCTTAGTGTTTGCTCCAGCGATAAGCGTCCCCTCCCACCCAACTACTTACTTTAGCTGAGGAGGGCTGGGACAGAGCAGACTCCCCTCACCCACAAACACACAACCAAGAAGGTGCCTTGTAAAAGTCTACCGGATCAACTCGCACTGTAGCAAAAAAAAAAAAAAAAAAAAAAAAGTAGTAATGTAGATGTGGAGGCTGAAATTTTGGCTGAAGCATTTGCGCACTTGAACGTGTTAAAAACAGCATAATTCAAAATTGAATCTGAGGAAGACACAAGAAATGCGTTTTACCTGATCGGGGATTCAGTTCTCACCAAATGGGTGGAAAATCTCTAATGCATATTCCAGTGGTGAACAAAAACAGTTCGGTAAATTGGAGCCAGGTTGCTTTTTTTTGCTAGCTTTTTTTCTCTCTCTCTCTCTGGTCAATCCACACTTTAACAGTGGTACTGAGCTGGAAGCGGGTGGTTAGGGGTTTCAGGCACAGCACCCACACAGGAAAGAGAAAAACAGAAGTGATGAACAGAAGAGTGGCTACCTGTCAGGTAGTCGGTTAAGTTACCACAAGGAGTGGCTGTAAAAGGAAGTTCCACCTACCTCCTTTCCATTCAGGTATTTTTTCCTTAATGTCACAATCTCCGTGACTGTCAGTCTGCAAGCTAATGAGGTGCTATAAGTCTCTTTTCCTCTTTTCTCTCTCATCCCTGTCATTTCCCTAGTCCTTTGCAACATAATTTCCTTTTCCTAGAACATTGATTTCTTTAGGACCTTAGCAGACACTGTAACCCAGGAAGTGTGGTTTGTATAGATAGATAGATCTCTCTTTCTCTCTCTCTCTCTCCTTTCCTTAATCAGAGTAAAATGTCTCGTTTCTTTATTATTTCAAGACACGCACTGAGCCAATTATCTAATCATTACGGCAAAGCAGGTGGTGCACTAATACAAGATAATAACACACCTTGGGCATTCGGAGCCATCGCGCTGCTCAGGGCTTGCGCTCCTCTGAACAAGCCTAATTGGGCTGTGGTACATGGGAAGATATGTGCGAGGGAGAAAATCATCATACTTAGGAGAAACTGGAAGAGTGGAACTTTTGTGCTTTTTTTTTTTTTTTAATCAAAGGAGCAAAAAGGACATAAGCTGTAATTTCATGCTCTGCATGAAAACATCTTGCGTTTTTGAGCATAAATGTGGAATCGACTTTAACGTATCAGACTGGGACTCAAACTCTACAAATGTCTCTTCTTGAACATTCTGACTAGAATTTAAAATCAGTTAAACTTATGTTACATGTAGCTTGCCCTCTGTAAAACGCCTTTTTTCAGTTCTGTTATTTAGTTGCTAATCCTCTCTTAACCCTAACGAAGGAAAGCCTCAGCACATCAACATCCTCTGATGCTTGTGGGTCGTCAGTCATATTCTGGCAAGTAACTTCAACATGGTATTTATTACCTTGCTTGTGTAACCGGTGCATCCAAGGGTTATTCCTCAGGGAAAAGTCAGTAAGTCGAGATGGAAAAGCTTCAGAATCAATATTTTTAAGTCATCCGGCAATGAGCCTTAAATCCTCGTCTTTCCATCCGTCCTATTTGTTCACTGCTGTTTGCAGTGTTTAAAACTTTCTCTTCACGTGAATTAGATCTCGCTTATGTGTTTTAGAAAGTCTCTGTCCCTCCTTTTAAAGCATTCGTGATGTGTGCTAAAGAAGAAGATTTAAATGGAAGGCAAACGTCATTAAGCCCTTTGATTTTAAATGAAAATGTCTGTTGTGATTTAGGTGTAATTGACTGTGTTTCAGTCTTTGGCCGTACTGCCGGATAAAAAAAAAAGAAAAAAAAAAAGTGTTTCACTCATTATGCACTCGTCACCAAATTCGTAACCTGATTTAAACTTGAAACTGAAAAGGGAAGATTTTTCATATGAAGCAAAAGTTAATCCGGCCTTCCAAAACCAACTCCCTTTTGGGTTGGTGTGGCCAGTGTTGACACCAGCGAAAGTGCGGTGGAATCTGCAGCTGAAATGCACTCGTGTACTTATACTGTTGTCAATAAGATAAAGGATGAAAGACGCAGAGCTAAAGTCAGCGGAGCGAGGCGGACGGCACTCTTGCGTGATAAATGTGGAGATGAACACTTCTTCTTGATTTCCTGCATCTTTATGTCCTAAGTATATCCATTTTGATGGATGGATTCCAGTCTTTCATTGTTAGCAGTTTGCAACAAGACTCTGACTTTAAAAGAAGCAAGACCGGTGTCTGCATATACGATGGGATGTTGTGGTTCAAAAGAATCGATAACAGAACTGAGAGGATGTACATAGAAAAAAAGATAAGAATTAAAACATAGTTGAAGAAGCTGATAAACTAGTGTGTGACCCGTACCTTGATTAACAGTGCTTTGTGATGACTTTCCTCAATAAAAGAGCAGAATCTTCTTAAAGAGACAGAGGCCCAATTTCAAGGAGTTAAATTACAATGTCAAATTTATTTTAAGTCACATTTGATATATCCAGCAGTCTTGTGACAACTGAAAGTAACATAGTTCTTTGACTGTGCTATGAAATAGCTGGAAAAATACATTATACTGTCCCTTAAAAAGGAAAATGCACCACTTTGTGTTGGTCAGTCACATATAAAGTCGAGAAAATACATTGAACATTGTGGTTGT